TTATATATATATATATNTTAAATGTGTGTNTGTNTGTGTGTTTTGTGCATTCATGCACTCATATTTCCTACTACCATAGCCGCACACGCTATATATGTGTGTACATATATATTTTTATACCGCATTCAATAACACGACCGGAGACTGGCACTTCTCGATCATTCCACACCTTGCCACCACTTTTGCGATGCTGATCAATTGTTATACTTGTACCTACAGGCTCAGCTCAAGAAGAATTCCTTGGGTGAGGATATCATGCCGTTGCTGACAGAAGTGTTCAAATCCATCTACGAGAGAGAATACATATACGCAGCTGACATGTATCTGCGTTTAGCCATTGGTAACGCAGCCTGGCCCATCGGTGTGACTCAGGTGGGTTGGATAACGACAAACATCTGTGATTATCCAGATAAGAATGTTTGAAGTCACCGGAAACGGCCACTGTATATTTGGTTCTATTTCTATTAGAGACGGGTGCGGAAGTAAAATAGCCGTTGCCGTACATGTCAAGTAGGGCCTGGTATACTGCGGTCTACATTGGCGTGTGCGATTGGAATTAAGTGGTTGTGTGGAATCATATTTTACATTGGCGTAAAATGCGCGACTGCGGGGGCGAATAATGCACATTTATATTTGTGTTGTTATGTACTTATCTCACCACGTGCAGTTTTAGCGTGTCTGCGAACAAGTCCGTGCCCCGCTTTCGAGGCCATTCCTGTGTTGATACAGCATCTTTGTTTATTCAATTCATCCAAGCCTGTATCGTATCGAGAACATACATAACTAGTTGGAATAAGAAAATTTAAGGATTATTTGAAAGAAAAAGGGGATCCATCTCACTGACTGTCTCTACCTCTCGGAAGTATCTCTGGGGTGCTTTTCGTACTTCTTTGGCGGGGTTCGCAGTCAATTCCCCCCCCCTCACTGTTTAGCGCTCACTTGCAGTCATAGACACACACGGACATATGCGGAGTTCTACGGATGTGTGTTTATGTACAAGCCCGACTCGCCGTATTCGCTATGTCTAATTAGGGCTGTCGAGCAGCACGTGTCAAATTTACATCTATAAAATCATGCACAAGCACTACCAGCGGGATTGTAATTGTCTTTTGGATAGGTGGTACGCTTAGCGACGTACAGGTTGGTCCTAGTATATTGGCGAAGCTAACTGTTTTTATCTTATTTGTACCTCTACCCCATAAATTGGCACAAAACTCTAACCGAACTTTTTTTTCTGTCTTCTTGAATACTTTTAGGTTGGTATCCACTCGCGAACCGGGCGAGAGAAAATCTTCAGTCAACACGTGGCGCATGTGCTGAACGATGAAGAGCAACGGAAATATATACAGGTATGAATAATTGTTTAAGGGGGTTTGGTATACTTGTCGAGTCGATGCAGAGAGGTAAAATAACCCGGTTTGTTGCGAGTATTTGATTTAAAGATGACTAGACTAAGTTTACGACTATTGGAGTGATGCTGTCATATGTGTATATGCTTGTACGCTCGAGAAAACTTGATTGTAGCGTGTGCCAGTGTCTACTAATTGAGCAAAGGAAGTATAGTTGATCGAGTAGGTGTAGCAACTAAAGTATAGACATGCACGACGGGCCACTTTGATCTTATGTTACTAGTTTATGATTGGTGGAGCATGTGTGGCTACGGAAGTGTATTCCAAGTATGAGGGGGTTGCTGTTTTATACCGTATCAGGAATTATAGCTATTCGAAAAGGTGATTGTTTGTGGTGTGTGTTTGCACGTTCAACTATTTGCATATGTATTGAATGGGCCATTCTTCTTCGGGGAGTATAGTTACTGTAAATTACGTTCTTAATAGAGCTTTCAGTTCGAATGCTAATTCAGGAACTCTCTTATATAAGCATAGCACGCACGAGGATAGCCTTGACCATTACATAACGATATGTATGTCTTTATATCCCCATCATAGCCTTGACCATTACATAACGATATGTATGTCTTTATATCCCCATCACAGGCCTTGAAACGTCTGATGACTTATGCACAGAAGAGGTTTCCTGCCGACCCGTCAAAGTGCTTGGAGTTCAATGGACTCAGAAACGATTAAGCGTATTTGTATCTGCTGGCTTACAGATCAGATGGCTTCAGAGCTTGCAAATGCAAGTGTGCTTTCAGAATCAGTAGAGAATTGGACAGGCTCCGGAGGTCGCTCATATTAGAGTTCGGTTAGAATTAGTAGTGAAGTGGTATATTGTGAGAAGCGAGGTAGATACGCTGCCCTGGGGGCTACAAAGTGCGTTTGTTGCATTGCGTAGTAGAACAAGCCAGCCACACTTGTCCCGTGCGAGCCGATACAGATGTTGGAATGGAAGGCGTTGCTATGCGACAAGCACTTGATCACTCACGAGAATTGCCTTGACCGAATGAGCGGGGCCATTTGAGGCCAATTGGGGTGGACCAAACGAGTGGCATTGGTACTAACGAGACTACTCTACGCTATGGGCAGATCAGACGGGCACAAGCCACGTCCTCTGCTCGTAGGAGTCTCTATCAGACGGGAAAACGCTGTATGTGTGTGGGCAAGTATTTCGCGATACTTCTGCTTTTTTAATCCAGACATACAGACTACCAGGCCTCGCACGCTTGACAAGAAGCAATCCCTACGTGCTGTACAGGGTGTGTACTTGGCTGTTGTTCGGTCATTGTGAAGATGCTCTTCAAAGGCCCCCAATCACAGTTTGTCCGCACAGTCGCTCACATCACCGTCGTATCGATACTGAGGGCTTCTACCCAGACAAAGGATGTATTGCAGCATTGCGCAGTACATATACGTGCTCAAGTACTGCACTCCAGACACAGGCGCGTGCACCAATACGCCAGATGCACAGGGACACAGGGACCCTATCCATCACACACACACATGCATATCATGCAGACATGCATTTGAACCACTCATGCACACTACACCAGGTGCATACTACCATGCCAGGGGTGTACGTTTTTATGAATAGGGCACAGAATGGTACAGAGAGAAGTGATGTACTACAGGTACACCTGTATACCACATATGATACAAAGATAAGCATTTATTTGAACTGTACACCATAGCCGATTCTCATAAAAGGTCCGCCACTGCCCTGGCCGCACAATTCGGTGGATGTGTTGTAGCGTATGGTATGACTACACAACACCCATGCGGACGTGGGGGGGGGGGGGAGAATACCAAGACAGATCAACAGTCTCCATGGGCACAGGACACGAACGTCCTCATGACAACTTTATGGACCAATTTAAACCCACTATAGGCAGTACTACTAGCCGTATGTTTGCGACGAACACGTGGAGATGCATGTGGAACTCTTGGCGTCGGGTAAATAGGTAGCATGTTTAATGTAGTGTTTGGGGCGTGAATAAAGTAAAGGTTAACGCCATCCGAGAGCGTTTACAACTGTCTCCCAGACTGCATAAACTGGATATTTGAATTTGGGTCAGTTGACGCCCAAATGCGTGACCAATTTATACCACGAACTGTACGATCGAGACACAAATTAGCATTGGCAAGGTATTGGTTCGTAGTGTAAATATTGATGGTCCTGTACATGATAACCATTGCATCAGGCAGTAATGTCAACCACCAATTCGCGTCTAGTTCGGGACAGTTGTGAAAGCCTCGGGTTAACGCACAGCACAATTACAGAGTCCTTAATGAAACAACCGAGTTCATCTATAGGCTACACAGTTCACTGAACTGTACAGAATGCCATACCATGCCGAATATCCGTGCGCCTGTTGATTGGATGTGCTTTGGGTCTCTTGGATGTGCTTTGGGTCTCTTGGATGTAGCTATCGAAGTGTACAACTCGACAGTTTCAGTTTCTTCAACTCAAGTCCCGTCATCACAGCAAGAACAATTAACTGGCTAGAGTCAGGCGGTGGGTGTGACGTACACATTAGATAAGCTCTGATGGCAGGGTCTAAAAGTGTATCTGAGACGGAGTTTCATTCCGAATTCATTGTCGCTTTCATCGGACTACAGTCACGCCCGTCGTGTATCAGAATTTGCATGTGAACGTCGCAGACAACACTCTGCTCGTTGTGAAATGTACATGAGCTCTCATCGCACACGACCGGGGGCCTGCAAGTGGCCAATAGAATGGATCCAAGCTTAACTATACTGATTCTCGATTCACTAATCAATACATACTGTATTGCTGCTGCTTCGAAGTTTACTCCAAATGTAATTAGGGTAGTGCGTCGACACCCCACTAGTCGTGATAAGAAATATTCGTTTGTATGGACATGCGGGTGTCTTCTTAAGCACACCATGACAGTCTGGTAGCATCTGTTACTCATCATCTGTATGTACATGTGGTGATCATCCTCTTGGGATTGAACTAGGCTTACAACCCAATGCACAAACCGACGCGCCGATAAATAGTATCCCATGTGATAGTTCCACGGCTTTAGTGTTGTAGTACTGGCGACTCAACGAACCATCCACACTACATACAGCACCCCAAATATGAACCAGAGGAACATGGGGAACTGTAGGGCCTGACACTATACCAGACATATGGACCGGTTGATCGGCTGACAACGGCCACGTGTCTTAAACACTAATACTTAATATGCAGGTATGAACTAAACACTCATACTCGATATGCATGTATGACGATATATCCATGCCGTGCTCAGCGCACGTCGTCTCCAAATGCATTGCTTTGCGGGCGCATGTCCGCGAAGTCGGCTACGGGTATACACCAGTACTGAAATTCCTGCCAGATGCGCTCTTTCATCCAAGCTGTTTAAAAGAATGGGGGGGGTGTTAGTTAGTTTATCATGCCACAATATATCAACTAACAAGACTAGATACCAGACACTCAAATGTGCATGAACCAGTTCCGATGACCCTCATATGTGTGTGATGGCTCTCGACAAAGTTATCGGGTTCATATGCAATATATACATATATATATACATATATTTACATACATACATACATACATATATATATACATATATATATATACATACATACATACGTACATATATATATATATATAATATATATATATATATATATAATATATATAATATATATATTATTATTATTACTATATA